ATTAGCTATTAGCGAGGGGCACCTGTTAGCATTAGCTATTAGCGAGCGCTGAAGTGCAGGCTGGAGTGCATCACCTAGCTGATACTTCCTAAACCTACATGCATGCAGTCGATTTATGCTATTTGAACAGCACCTGTTTTTAAGGCAAACCAGGATATTAATTATTGGCACCGCTAAATTTTAGCGGTACATGAAGAGGCAAGCATGTGAGGAAAAAGTACAAAGGGAAATCTGATGGATGAGTCCAAAGCGAGGATGGATCCTAAGGTTCCAGGCGAGGAATGAAAGATCTGAGCCGAGACACTCAACATCAGCTGGAACATGAGATACGACAGTGTGGGAGGAATTTAAATATCAAGAGAAATTCTGAAACACTGCGGTCCCTCCCGATCCGACAGTACTCGTAAGGTCTGGACACCATGACTGTGTCGGGTAGCTTAGGACATCCTGGTCAAATTCGATGTAATCAACAACATTACTTCCAGAGCATTTAAACAAAAACAAAAACAAAAATACGAGTCACAGAACTGAGGCTTAGTAGACAGAGGCAGACATTTCAGGTCCAGAAAGTAAAAATCCAGACCAAGATTTTGTTACGACTACGTGACTACGTGAGTACTCTGTGACTGTCACTCTTTATGCTCAACTGGTTGGTTAAAACAAAATCCTGGTCTGGATTTTTACTTTCTGGACCTGAAATGTCCACCACTGCTAATAACCTAAAACACAGATAAATGGGACACTTGCTATGGCAGCGATGGCTGCTCCTTATAAGACCTCTGCTGTGTCAATGTGCAGAGAACCCTGTCACAGTACTCACAGTACTCACCCCAGTAACAGCTCTGGGGAGCGGTACCACCTGGTGGCCACATACTCTGAGTAGTTGGCATTGTCGCCCTCCGATAGATTGCGCGCAAAGCCTGTGTGGGGGTGGGGGGGGGGAAAGGGGGAGAAGCAACAGGGTGAGAAGCAACAAACTGTGAGGTTGTGAGGTTAGTGCCTCATGACTGACAAGCAGTGAGGCCGTCAGGTATCGTGAACCCAGTTGCTTCTACTGATAATTCAATTAAATTAATTGAATTATTATTTTTTTATATATTTATTTTTAATATATAGCACCTGTTACAACAGAGACACCCCAAGCCACTTTACATAGGTGCGTTATAATACATTATTACATCAATTACATTGAAAAACCAGATGACAACAGAGGAGAGGAACCAAAAACTTCCAAGTAGGGAATAAAAAAAGCTTTCTGTCCCTTATGGCCATTGGCAGTGATTATGATTATTTTTTTATTGGTAATTTAGTGACCAAAACGCATGTCAAATAAGTAATTCTTTAAAGTCATCATAAGTGGCAGAGCAGAGGACTGAAGACACTTTGATAAAATGATTTAAAACCACTATTTACTTTGTGTAATATACAAAATTAGAAGTTTGTGTATATTGATTTTGGGGGGGAAAAAAGTCAGCTGGACTGGCCAAGGTGAGGCAGAAAGATGGACTGAGCAGAAGAGGACATACAGCAAAGATGCCCCAATGCAGCAGACTCAGTCATTGGGAGACAGCGATTTTGACATTGAGGGGTGGGGTCTCCCACCACCACTGTGTCATGTGACTCTATTTATAGAGAGGGTGGCAATTTCACCTACCAAAATCGCACAGCTTAAGAATGTCGGTGGAGCTGATGAGGAGATTTTCAGGCTTAATATCTGCGGTGGAATTACAGACAGGCATTTTTTAACATTACAACATCAGGCTTACATTAAAACACAACAGTTATCAACAGCAATCTGCAAGACTGCCGCGCTAGTTGTAATCATGGCAGTGTAGAGAGTACATCCATCTTCTAAATCGTTATCTGGGTCTGGGTCACAGGAGGGGACCTGGAGCCTATCCTAGACATCATGGGGCACAGCTGAGAGGGGACACCAGTTGATTACAGGGCACATAAACACTCAATGGGAAATTTAGAGACACAAATTAGCCTAACTGCATGTTTTTGGACTGCAGGAGCATTTCAACACTGGGAGGGGAATGGAACCTCACACACATAGCAGAGGTGGTGTCACCCAAATCCAAGAGGTATAAGGCTACAAACCAAGGTTGATAAAAAGAATACTTAGGTGCATGGCGAGCTGAAGCCGGTCCAGGTCGCCGGCAGGACTCCCTTACCCCTGTGGACGATGTCGTTCTTGTGGCACCAGTGAATAGCTTTGGTCAGCTGATAGATGTAGGTCCTCACTTTGTCGGGTGCCACACCATTGGGCAGCTCCTCCAGCAGCTCCAGCATGTTCTGCCAAAGCCAAGAGCCGCGACACATTAGGCTCAAACCGTAAAGCGGCCTAACAGTGTGTATGAAATGGGCAGCACAGATCCCACCGGCTCAGTTTAGGTGGCGCATTCTGCTAATGTGTGGAATTAGCTTTAGCTTTAGCCTGGCTTAATGATAAATTTGCATAACATGCAGTCCCCCAGGTTAAAAACGTCCGACTTACTCGTACATACGGACAGAGCACCGTTATTAAAAATTCAGGTTAAGTACCATGGCTCACCATAACAAATGCACTACTTCGAGAAAAAATTGCGCGGATTCAGTGATTCATCGGTTCGAGGTACATTACAGTACCATATGTAGTCACTTGTACTAATATTTGAAAGTGTTTCTTCAGTTTTTTATGTCCATAGAAAGGAAAAATACATAGTATATTTATACCAAGACAAACATTTGACTAACTGACGCTAAAGAAGAACTGTATATACCTGTTCCAACTCACCTACAAATTCACCTTAAAAGACAGACTTAGGGAATGTTTGTAACTGGTATTCTCATAGACTGCTTGTATTCTCATAGTGACTGGTAACCCTTTCCATGTAAAACTGAATGCTACACAATCGGACACAACACAATTTAAAATTCATCATGTGCTGATATACCTAGAAGGAAGCCCAATTCACTGATTCATCTTTAACTGGCCAGATTCACCCTTTGGATGGTGCCTCCAGTTTAGTTTATTTTCCAGTTGACATGGTGTCTAAGTGACCTGTAATGACTACACAGTTACATACAGGGGGTATATTAAGACTAGGGAGAGCAGAATAATGTGCTTTGTGTAGTTCAGTGTCAGGAAACTCTTTTGTCTTCATCTCACTGTGTTTGTAGGTTTTACACCTGGAGCACGAGGTGAAATTAGATTTGGTCCTAATAATAGCATCACTAAAGCAATTTAGCTGTGAGATACAGTGAAAACCTCCCAACTTCATGGGACCAGCATTGATTATTGTTGGTTTATTCTTCTGGCGTTTTATGCATCGTTTATTATACAAGTATAATAATATAATACAGTAAAATCCAGGACAGGTTATTTTTTCAGTTCTTTGCTGGTGGAAGGGGCTATCGAACCGGCCAATCCGATAAACATTTATACTGATAAGCAGGAAAGCTGAAGCGAGGCGGTAATGAGATGGATGTTAGTTGCTACCGTAGCGCAGCCTGCTTGCTGCATACCTTCTCCACATACTCAAAGACCAGGTAGAGCTTGCCCCTCCTGCGGAACGCGTCCTTCAGCTCCACGATGTTCTCCTGCTTGAGGGTGCGCAGCATCTTAAGCTCCCGGAGGGTGGTCTCCTTGACCTCCTCATTCTCTGAGGGGGGAGGTGTGGGTAAGTGAAGGTACGGGGGCTGACGGCGGAGCTCAGAAGCCCTGATATCAGCACCAAGGCCAACAAATTCTCCTGCAATCCAAGTCTATCGATTGTCTCCCATCACTGTCATCATGTTTTACATTACAGGCCTCTCTGCTAAGGTGCAGAAAAT